TATTAGAGTAGTGCTGGCCTCATCAAATATTTGGAAGTATCCCTTTTGCTTCCATCCTCTGAAAGAGATTGTAGAGAACTGGTATAATTTCTTCCTTAAATATTTGCTAGAGAACCTGGTGTTTTTAGTAGGTTAAATTAAATAACTTGGTTTCTAAAATGTCATATGATTGGCTATATTCTTTATTATCAGTAAGCAGATATAATGTTAGATAAAACTAGAAAGAAAAGATATATTTTTTAAGCTACTAGAGTTTTCAGAATATCTCAGTAGTGGTTAAATAGAAAAAACATTGATCACTTTTAGACCATTCTGTCTAGGTTAAGACCAACACAAAAATGTACTGCAAGTTCATAAAACTTTCTCAAGTGATATGTTTCAACTATCTATATTTTATAACAGAGAAAATCTTTTAGGTTTTTAATCACTCTGAAGAAAATTCACCGTTGAAATTGTTTACATGCAGGAAAGAGAGCTCCCCTTACATCCTTTACTTTAAAATTTACGTCTTTCCTTTTCCATAAATCTTCACCATAGACAGCTCTGAGAATGTGTGTTGGGGTGAGAAGGAAAAAAGGAGGTTGAAAACCACTGAACCAGAGAATATTCTCTTTATTGAAATGAATAGTGGGACTGTGTTTACAACATGGGAAACACATCCGGTTATTTAGAAGAGTCTGGTGGACCCCCTGCCGTTTTCATGAGCTCTGCCTGCCATTGATATTGCTCTAAGTCAAGGTAACTGGACAGGGCTGCCTCCAGTCTGTATGGCACCTTCCTGTGAATTATTAAAAGGCACCCCTGCCATCTGTTGGAAAATTGTTGTAATATGCTGCTTTTGTTAGAAGATACTTTCTTGCCCTCTGATAGACATTTGTCCTAATAAATATGCCATTTCATCATGTGAATTGCACCCGCTTGGACATGGTGCTGTTGTGCAGTGCATGGCCTGCACAATCACATGGGGCATTTGCAAGTAGGAAAAAAATAGAAATCACCATAGCAACACTTGTCTATAACATAAAAATGAGAAATCAGATTCATTGCAGTAACTCCTGGAAAGTTCCTGTTCAGCAAGTTGGTGGTGTTGGAATAATGGGGAGGTAGGGTGTGGGGTGGGGAGGGTTCTTTCATTGATGGCTTCCATTCTTGAGAACAAGGGCTTGGCTATTGCTCTTTATATGTCTTCCAGTCAGTTAGAAAGAGCCTACAAATTCCAACAACTTAGCCAAATGGAAAAGATTCTCTGTTTACAGAGAAAACACAAAGCTTGCTTCTTCCCCATCATTAAGCAGGCCGAGTATACTTAGCAGAACTTTTCCACTTAGGTGTCCAAGTTAAGGCTATCAGTGACTTTTTACTTGAAATCTAAACGTTTTAGAAACATTTTGTCGGGAAAACTAGTCACAGGCCCTTTCAAAAAGAATCAAATAAATAGTTTGGGGGGTTTCCATCTTGGAATTAGGATGTTTATTTAAGAAACTCTAATAAAGCCCTCTTTCAAGCCCATGAAAATTGTAGTCAGAATTGAGTGGCGGACTAAGGATTCAGGAAATAGCTATTGATTTGTGAGAGAGAGAGGGAACAAAAGTGCCAGAGAAGGAAGCAACTTGCTGAGAAACTTTTGCTAATGGTTCTTATTTCCTGCAACTTTGAAAAAGCATTCCACCACCAGTGGAGTTTAAAACATTCTCGTTTCCAGATTAGCCCACCTAGGCAAGGGGTGGTACCCACGGTATGGCTCAGGCTGGGCTTCTCGGGGCAAAGGCATGAGAGTGGGTGGGGCTGACACATTGACTGCAAAGCTTAGTGCAAAAGGAATTTTCAGTGAAAGCAGGCAGGACAATAAGGGAAAGTCCAAAGCCTCCTGCCCAAGGGATTGGGCAGAAACCAGGAAAGAATCTGAGGAGAAGAACTGGCAAGGGAGATCCTGATTGGAGAGAGACAGTTGCACCACAGAAGATTCCAGAAGGTTGCCAGGGATGGAACCTTTTATAGGCTGCCCACACAGGAGCCCTAAGCAGGAAGAGAGCCATGCAAGAAGCCAAACTAATTTGGATACCAAACGGCCTTTTTATTTGCTTTTCAAAACCTCCACGGGCAAGAAATCAGAAAATAGTGAGGGAAACATAACATCAGAAACAGTCGTGGTGATGGGTTACAAAAGACAGCTGAAAGTTCTATACCGAAAAACTGGGGGGATGCAAATTGTATTTTGATCAAAGTGACAAAGCCGGACAAGCACCTGGAAGTACATATAGAAGTATAATAGTTCTGAAGTAGCCACATGGAGATCAAAAGCTCTGGATGATTTAGAGGAAAAATGTAGCTTAGCCAAATGCCACTGATGACATTTCACACTTTCTCCCTTATGCTTCTAATTATTCTATGTAAATATAATCCTAAATCAGTGACTCATTTTTGTCAGCTAATAATGAACACTCTTAGAATTCCATACTTGCTTGTTTTCTGCGTTTGTTATTTCAGTGAAGTAACGGTGAAACATATATGTATGCTGTCTCCTTACCATCACTTAGAGTTTTTGAGTCAGTAATGATATAAACGCTATGGATATTTAGGTAGATTTATAATCCCCAGTTGAGCTTTAGTTATGCTTGTGGTTAATGGGTGGCTTAGTTTACCCATCAGCTGCCTGGGCAGGGAGGTAGAAAAGAAACTTCCCATGAAGGACGGGCTTTTTAAAATTCACAGTGACCTTGCCTATTGGTAGATGTGGCTCAAGAGTGAATTCAGCTTCAACCAAGATGATGCGTAACTTTCATGGGGTGAAGCTGGGTGGAAAGTAAAGATAAAGAAATCAGAAACCTCTTCCCCTAATGTCTACCTGTAAGGTTATTAAACATGAAGTCAATGGCTCTCAACCTGCGCTACACACCAGTATCTCCTGGAGCTGAAACAAATTCTGATACAAGACCACGCCCAAGAACAATCAAATCAGAATCTCCTAGGATGGGGCCAGGCACCAGCAACTTGTTTTGTAAGTTCCACAGGTTGTTCCTGTGTGCAGCCAAGGAGAGAGCAATTGGACTAAATGAAATGACACAGATCCTGGTACGTTTGGTGCCCAATGAGCATGAGCACCCTCCTCTTCCAGTCATTTCCTGCTACCCCACCCCTCCCTTTCTGAACTCACACAGGATGTGTGTATCTGACTTGGTCTTGCGACACGTATCACAGGTGACTGCCTCACAGTTGGAGAATTTGCTTCTATCTTCACATTGAAAATGACAGAACTCTCTTCTCACTTTTAATGTACCGTCTCATCACTTATTTCACGCGTTTATCTTCCTTCCAATATTATTTAACTTCTTTCACCTTTAAGCCCCAGAATCTGTGGATTTAGGAAGGGTTCTGACTTCCGTGTCCCTAGGGATTGAATGTAGTCAAACCTCTTCGAGCACTTGAGAAGGATCAGGGTAGAAATAAAGTTTAAGGCATAAAAGGGGTTCCTAAAAATAGAACACAATTCATCAATTTCAGTTAAAAATGCCTTCATACTTTCCAAGCATTTTTGAACTCTTAAGCATTTTTAATAAGCTCACTTATGAGTCTTGTTGAAAATAAATAAAATACACTTGTTTTCATTAAGGGAAGAGATCTTTTTCCATCTTAGTATTGTTGAAAAAGACAAAAAGGAGTCCAAAACTTGGCAAAGGAGTACATTATTAGTGACATATTGGTCACAGATGTGCTGGTAGAGCTACATTTTCTTCCTGCAATTAGTATTTTAAGTGCCCACAAATTACATGTGAAAGTCCAGATAATCTCCTTACAAAAGGGAAAGATGAAAAAATTATGGTATTTGCAAAGTCTTCATTTTGAATATATTCTAAATGTGTTTTTGTAAATAGGCAAGTGACCCATGTCCGTTTGCTAGTTATGGTTTCAAAGGAGTAGTGCTGGATGATTCCCACCTTTGCTTTTTATCGTCAGCTCCAAATGTTTTAAGGAAGTGCAGACACCTGGAGATACTCTTTGGCAATACTTGTGAATTATAAGATTCCTTTCCCTTCACAATTCTTAAGAAAGTCAGGAAGGCAAAACTCAAGAGGCAGAAGGGTATTCTCTCTAGTAACTTTATATTGCTCGAATCTGTAGGCCTTTGAAGCAGAGTAGGAGGAGTTTGGCCAAATTGTGTTCAGTTACAGAAAGTCCTAAAAGGACTTAAAGGAGAATATTGACAAGCCAACTCTGGAAACAGGGTTAGGACTGACCTCGCAGGAAATGGTGTTGCCACCAGGATGCCCATTAAGGCAGATGTAATAGGTGAATGTAATTCAGACCAAAGGCTCTTATTGTAAGGATGTAATGGGAGGAAACAGTATGTTGTAAAAGAAAAAGGATCAAGAAACACATGTGATGGACATAAAAATAATAATGACAAACTAAAACTTTATTATAAGACTTCTTGAGAATTTTTTTACTCACCTTGATATTGAAAACTAGACAAGGGAATAACTCCTCAAGGGACGACAGATGCCTCAGTTTTCATCGTGTTTAAATTGATGAGCTAACCAGTTTGAAATGTCATATAAATTGAAAGCGATGTGAAATTGAACAAAAGGGAAAAAGCAGAAGGAGAAGAATTAGTGTACTATCTATATAGAGGCTGAATTATGACACAGAAAAAAACAATATGACCAAGTTTCCTGATATATAAGGAGAAGACTATTTGCATTTTTAATTCAGTACAAATATGCATTTCAAGACGGTTTAGTGATCTGATGATTACAAAGACAGATGGCTTTAAATCAGGAGCTCGTAATATACCTTTTGGCCCCAAAGCCATCGGGTAGGACTGTCAAGGGAATGTCAGTGTTTGATGCTAATCCAGCTCTGTCTGGCGCCTTGTGTAATATTTGATTTTACAAGTTCAAGACTTGATACTATACAGCTTTTGAAAAATAAACCTATAATAAAGACTTCAAGTTCTTTTCATTCTCAAAGTACCTTGTTTTTGTTGCTTCCCATTTCCCTAGGAAAGTGACAATATTGGAGGACCCCGATCAGAACATTCACCTGAAAAACCTGTCTCTTCATCAGGCAACCACAGAGGAAGAAGCTCTGAATCTGCTCTTCTTAGGAGACACCAACAGAATGATTGCAGAGGTAAGCAATGTCTCTGCAAGCTGTTTCTCCACACTGTAAGATATAATCGAATTTTAAGGGCAACAATGACCTTAAAAATAATCTTCTCCACACTTCACGTTACAGATAAGGAAAGCTAGATGCAGAGAAGTGGGGAGACGTTCCCAGGGTCATCTAGCTAGTTGAGGAGCAGAGACTGAAACCTAGATTCCTTTAATTTTTATATTTTTCAATTTTATACAAATTGGTTCACAGCTAGTCAATGACAGCTCACCAAACATCTTTATTATGTGAATTTCTGCGTAATTTTTGAAATTTAAAAATACACAGTTCCTTCTTCCTAACTCAAATCCGTCTATTGGCATATGTTTACATATCCATATATTTTCACATATTTAGTGAATTAATATTTAGAAAGCATTTAGAACAATGCATGGAACATGTGAAGTGCTCTGTGCGTTTGCAGCTATTTTTGGCAGATCTGGGAACACTGCCATGCGTAGTATAAGTATGTCTCAGCGCAATATTTGGGATATACCTATACTGAAAACTACTTGTTGTCAACCTGACCTTCAAACCTAACTGAGGGCCTGTGTTTCACCTGGGACTATAGGCAGGAGCCAGGATTGACCCAGCTTGGTCAGGGACCCTAACCTCAGCCGGTTACTGATTAGAGATGGAGGGTCGCAAAGCTCTCCTCCCCAAGGACACCGCAGTGAAAGGAATGGAGTAGTGGTGGTGGTGTGGGAACAGTTCCCCAAATGAACAGATTGCTGTTATCGCTGGTGCTTTCCTTCTTAAACCATGCTCCCAGGGTTCTGTGTTTTATCGTGTGTCTGACAACAAGTAGCAAGTGAGGATAGTAAACTGGGCAGATTAGTAGTCTAAGAAAGTCTCATCGTGCCATTTTTTCTGCCCCTTTTCCACCCTCTGGAATGCATGGCCTTAGATATAAGATGGAGAAATTGAAGCCAAGTTCAGATAGTGAAAGCATGGCATTGATGCCTGTTATTGTCTTGGGCCCTTAGTTTTTTTGTTGGTTTTCTTTTCTTTTTTGTGTGTGAAGAAGATTGGCCCTGAGCTAACATCTGTTTTCAGTCCTCCTCTTCTTGCTTGAAGAAGATTGTCACTGGGTTAACATCTGTGCCAATCTTCCTCTATTTTGTGTGGGATGCAGCCACAGCGTGGCCTGATGAGCAATGCTAGGTCCATGCCTGGGATCCGACCCTGCGAATCCCAGGCAACCAAAGTGGAGTATGCAAACTTAATATGCCTTCGGGCCAGCCCTGTTGTTGTTTTTTGCTAGTTCTGCATTAATACTTTTCAATAGACTAACTTAAATAGGTTGAACTTATGTACCACATAAGCCATATTATATGTCCCATATATACTATGGATTTAAGGACCATCAAATTATTATTTTCATTTAAAGAAAGTTTTACATAGGTTTTAATTTCAGAATATCTTGTTTTGCTTTACAATGTTTTGTGTTTGTGTTTTGCTTCAACATTTTGCCAATGTGGTCATCTGTGATGCTCTTATTTGTCGCAATAATTAAAGGTTAAGGAGTAATGGCAGATTAAGGATCGGGGAGTATAATGATGAAGGATCAGCATGCCCCACTAAAAACCCTCCTCCTTCATATACAGCTTAATAAACAGAAAACCAAGAGATACAGAATATAGATGGGTCCTGCCCACCATTGGACTATGAAAAAGAGAAAAGGTGGATCCATAAATGCCATTGGAAACAAGTGGAGAACCCCGTCCCTGCCTCAGTGCCATCCTTCCTCCAGAGGGGACTCGTGCCCAGAATAGTCTAGGCCTTGTCCTCACAATCACATCCCCTCATCTTGAATGGAGTGTGGAGGGCTCCTGGCCCTGGTTCACCATCGCCTCTGTTAGCTTAAAAGCTTGGCCATTTGGTATTTCAAAGTTATGCATTAACTTTAGCTGACTGTATCTTTTCAGACTATTGTTTTGTGAAGTTTTGAGGACCTTAAACTCCCTTTGTGCAAGCTTATCTGTCATGTTCTACCACCTTACAAAATTCCAACAGTCTTTTCCTGTTAGTTACTGATGAGTATCTAATAATAGTATCATAAATAGCTGAAACCTGAAGTCCAATTCTGATAATGCTGGTTGTGCATTATTTTTTAACTTGTTCATTTTTTCCTGTGTGACTGATTTCTTTTAAACCAAATCTACTAGATTCTGTGTATTTCTGTGCTTGCTTTCATTTTTCCTTTGGTCATAATAGCTACCGTGTTATCTCAAGAAGCTGCTCAATAGCCTTGGCACTGTTCTAGATGCTTTATGTATGTAGATGTTATTTCTGATTCTTGTTTCATAGATGGAAACTGAGGCACAAAGAGTGAGACTACTTGTCCCAGGTCACCCAACTGTTAGGTGGCAGGGCCAGGGTTTAACTCCAAGTCAGACTGATTCAGGGCTTATGCTCTTTCCTTGTACCACCTTTCAGGAGTACAATAATCAAATTGACATGGGTCAAATTTTTCAAGCGAGGATACATTTCTGAATTATTTAAAAAGTACGCCAAGTATTTAGCACTTCAGTTTATCTCTTGAATTCATTGAAAGCAAATACATGAAAATATAAGTGAAAAATAACTGTCAATCCCTGAAAATACTTTATTATTCAGAGTCTCTGAAAAAGCCTGTTTTAGATTACAGTCCCACTGTCAGAATGTAATTTGTCAGCACAGAATGAGCTTACCAGGATAAAAAGAACACACTAACCATTTTTTTAAAAAAAGACGAGGTTCCCAATTTCCCATTTACACAGGGAAATCCAGAAGTCGCCATGGTAACCAGAAAATATTTGCAAAACAAAGTCTGAATATGTGGGACACAAAGTGGAGTGCTCTTTCCTTTCATGTGCTCTCCCCATAGCCAGCATTTTAAGGAAAAGTTATTAAGAGTAGCTTCATCCTCTTCTTATTTATTCAGAACTCTTAAATAATTTCTGTAATCCTACCAGTGTTTTGAATAAAACCTGATTATGTCCTTAGGGCAAGTTTTTTAAAAAGATGAACTCCTGTGCCAAAGAGACTAAATATTGTCAAAGCTGAACTGTATGTGACCCAGTCTCAAGGCCCACCAGTAGCAAGTGTGACTTCATACTTTTTTGTCTTATCATTGAAATGTTTCTATCAATTAATCAAATCTAATTGAACAAGACATTCTGCATTTGGTTGTCAAGCCCTGCACAGTCCCATTGCTGGGACCACTTGCAAAGCCCCGCCCATGTTCTAGAGCACTCTATCCCCCAGTGTGCTCTGAGTATGACTTGCATTAGAATACCCTGTGGCAGTCTAAAGACACAGTTTCTCTGATCCCGTTTTGGATCCATGGACTCAGAATCTCTGCAGTGGAGCCCTGGAATATGCATTTTAGCATTTTTAAAGTGCTCAGGCTAAACTTGGAGCAGTTTGGGTTTTACTATTAAGATGCTGGTTGAAACCCACTCCCAGAGAAGTACTCTGGGGGAGGAAGACAATTCCTCTACCCTCTAGGTCCTCCTGGCTGGTCTAAGAAGTAAATTGACATGAGACAGAATAACAGGAGAAAATCAAATAAAGTTTGATAACATGTATACATGGGAGAAACCCAGGAAAACTGAGAAACTGGCCAGAACAGCCAAAGCCACCACCTTAAATACCATCTTCAGCTAAAGACAAAGGAGGATGTTGGTAGGTAGTGGTTTGGAACTTCCAAGGGGAGGAAGTCAATTTACGTGGAGACGGAAATGCAAATATTTCTTAAACAAGTGTTTGTGGGCCCTCTATAGACAATGTGACCTGAGAGGCACATTTTATATTACAGTACAATTCTCTTATGGTGATAGCTCCTTCCTGGGACAGGCCTTCTATCTTAAATTCTTTTAGGCAGTTAGGGAGAAGGTCAGAGTTTCTTTCAGAGTCTTTTGTTCTTAAAAAATAATCAAGGCAAAGAGACACACTTTGGGGGGGCCAATTCTGATCCCCCGCAGTACTGTACCTTTTCAAACACCACAAAATTTGAAAGTTCTGCCAATTTGGGGGACAAAAAAAATCTTAATTTAATTTGCATTTTCATTATATGCATTTTTATATAAATTTGCATTTCCGTTTTTGTTTATGTCTTCTATTTGTTTTTCTCTTGAGGTGTTAGGGTAGGTCTAATTCATTTGTTGGCTCCGTGAGGACTGGAACTCTGTCTCGTTCACATCTACCACACCTCAAAACAGACTTGATATATAGTAGGTGCTCAGTAAATAATTATTGAATGAAAGAGCATGACAGATAATAGCTTTTTGCCTTTGTCGTATATTTAGCAAATATGTTCCCAATTTTATAAATTTTCTTTTAGTTTTCATTTCCTTTTTTTTTTTTTTAATATAGTCAAGTCAGTCTTTTTATTTCATGGTTTCTTCTTTGGATGCCATGCTTAGAAATGCAATTGCTAATGATGAATAATGCTGCTTATTAGAAAGTGTTTTGTTATTTTGAATTGAAATTTGATGCCTGGTCGAGTCCACCCCATTGTTCCCATTTGTCCTGGGATGGTCATCATCAGGTTGGAGTGGATCTTATCAGAGATTTCTGGAGCATGAGAGTTTTACCTGAATCTTGAAAAAAGCTGTCCTGAATTAACAAAATTTCATTTGAATCCTCCCTCTAGAAGTAGCCTCCCTTGATAAAAGTGTCATTTAAATATTCATTTTACGGAGTCGTAATGTTGCTCAAAGTGAATCATTAAACTAACATGGGCCTCTTTTACGAGCCAATTTGGAGAAGAGAATAGCATCCAGAATTCTTTCTACCATGACTTCACAGGAGTGCCTGTTATGAATTAAATTGAGTCCCCTTACCCCACTCCTAAGTTGAAGTCCTAACCTCTAGTACCTCAGAGTTTGACCTTATTGAGAGGTAGGGTCTTTACAGAGGTAATCAAGTTAAAATGAGGTCATTAGGTGGGCCCTAATCCAATATGTCTGGTGTCCTTATAAAATGGGAAAATT